TGTCAGCCGTGGATCCAGGAGGACACCCAGATTGCGTACCCTCTCTGAGGGAGCCAAAGTTTCGCCCCCTATAGTCAGCGACGGAGTCAGCTGACTATACCTGGGAGCCGGCAACCACAGCCACTCAGTCTTGGAAGGGTTGAGCCTGAGTCTGTTTCTCCCCATCCAGACCCGTACGGCCTCCAGACACCGGGCCACCGGGCTTTCTCTCTTTCTTTCCTCTCTCTTTCTCTTGTCTTTCTCTCTTTCCTCTCTCTCTCTTTCCTCTCTCTCTCTCTCCAGGTGAGGAGAGAGGGAGAGAGAGAACGAAAGGCAGACGGCGCCGAACGGGCGGGGAGGGGAGCAGGACGGGAGGCAACAGCTCCGGCGGCGGTGACTGCAGCATCGTTGGGGGTCCCCGCCGCTCCCGGCCCGGCCACTGCCCCCGGCCCAGCCACTGCCAACCTGGCTGTTGCCCCCGCCGCATCCTCAGCCACTTCGCCATCGCAAGAGGCCGGGTGCACCATGGGTGGCCGCGCCGGGAATGAGGAGTGCTGCCGTGAGGACAAGGGGTGTCCCGACCGCCGCCGGCCCCGCCGCCCTCACAGCCCAAGGTCTTCTTCTCCTGCAGCACTGAGGGTGGCGGCGGCGGCTCCCAGAAAGTGGCTGAGGAAGGCGCCACCGATGGGGCCGAGGTGGGGCCGGGCGGCGGAGAGCCCCACGGCAGCCAGGCAACAGCGGGAGGATGGTGAAGGGTCGTGGCTGCCCGGTTGCCACCGCCTCTCCGGCCTTGCTCAACCGTAGAGACACGTGGCTGGCTCGGCTTCTCAGGGAGCGATGCCCCCGCCGGCCACCACCCCAGCCATGACTGCCGCCCAGCCCGGCCTGACATGTGGCCCAGAAAGTGATGCCCCAGCCAAGATTGCCGCCTGGAACAAGTAAGCCCGGGGGCGCGCCACCTGCCCCGCGGCCACTTCGCGGCAGTGCTCTATGGACTCAGATCCCCCTCCCTTCCTCCACCACTGACCCTCTCCAGCTCTGCTGCTGCTTGGCCAATGGTCGCGTCGGCTGGGCATCAGAGGGGCTGCTCTCCCTCAGGGCCGCGGTTTGCGGGAGGGCTGGCCCGCTTAGCGGAGGCTCAGGTGGGCCGCTCCCAGCGGGGATCTTGGGGCTTCCCTGCATGGCTCCCCAGCCATGTGCGCCTCAGACGGGGCCAGCCCGGGAAAGGGACTTCCTGGCCGCCCTTCTCCCAGGGGGTGGGGGACCTGGGCGCAGGGCCAATCAGGAGCCCTGGGGGGGCAAGTCCACAGAGAGAGAGAGAGAGAGAGAGAGAGAGAGAGAGAGAGAGAGAGAGAGAGAGGAAGTGCAAGTGCCTCTCTCTCTCTTCTTGTCTCTCTCTGCAAATGACGGAGGAGGGTCCGGAGCTGCAGGGGATGGCTCAAAGAGCCGCATGCTGCTCCGGAGCTGCGGGTTGCCAACCCGTGCTCTAGGCATTCAGAATTAGAAAACCACTTTCACCTAACATATATTTGTATTCTTTATATAGTAGGTCTAAGATTATTAGAACATTTTCATATGAATTTCCTATTTCTAAAATCAAATAATATTTTTGAAAGCTCAATAAAAATACTAAAATATAATTTCACGTAGTAACCCCAAACATATGCTAGTATATTAATATCTGTGTTTCTTTTCTAAATATAAAAATTAGGATATACTAATACTTTAAAGGTAGAAAAAGATCTGCAAAAATGTATAGATTATCCTTCAATATATATAGTTACATTCTTAGAAAATCTATGCAGTTACTTCAATTTGATCTTGAAGTCTTCCCTAAGGCATGGAAGCCAGCTAGGTGACCTTGGACAAGTCATTTTCTCAGTCCACCTCACCCCATCCCATGCCGCCCCACCGAGATTTTATGGGAAAATCAGGAAGCAGGAACATTCTGTATACTCCTTTGAATAACACAAGTAAAGATGGGATTTATACAAATAAGTATTTTAAACTGATACTCCTTATACATATCCATCTTACCTCCATTCATAATTATTACTGCTTCTTCTGTTATTTGACTTCCGGATCCAACTGATGTTTGTGCATAAAAATAGAACTTGTATCGAGTGCTGTAATTCAGGTTGCTTAAAATCAAGCTGGTCTCATTTGCAGGAATATTGATCTCTTCCAAGTGACCTAATTCATGAGTACTATTAACTGTTGTTATACAGAATACAAAATATAATTAATTTGGAAACCTCTTTTGTATTTAACTACTGAAGTCAAGCATTTACACAACATGCTGAATCCTGCTATTGACATGCTGCATTAGCATTATTCAGATAGAATAAACGTTTGAATGAATGTATGATAAAGGCAGAATAATCCTGCTTCTAAAGTAGAACAAATTTTGTTTGTGAAGTAGTTCTGTAGCTTCCTGTATGTATAGATTTCAAAGGCCTGCAAAGTTGTAATTTTGAAAGTAAATGTGTACAACTTACATGTTCACTTAATTAGTTTCCTAACATCTAATTAAGAAGATGCTATTACATCTTCTTAAGATACACCATACAGGTCAACAGCACCAAATATTAATGCTCACTAAGCAAATTTTGTGCTGTTTGCATCTTGTGCATCTTTTATCCCCAAGGCATAATGGATACTTTTCTCTGAAGCAGAGAAAGGTCATTATATAGTTTCTACAAGGAAATACTTTGCTACCCCCCCTTTCCATAAAAATTCCATAAAATTTAACACTGTTCACTTCTAATTCTTAAAAATGAATTCCTATAGGAAAGTATTAACCAATCAATCTAAAAAGATACTCTTAATTATTCAGTAAAGATACACTTTGTGGATTCATTTTTTGTTAAAGTTTTACTTACTTGGTTGAAACTTTAATGTGTATCCCACCAGAACACCATTTGGATGAGAAGGTGGGCCCCATTCCAAAGTAAGAGAGTCCAGATTTTGATTAGTAATCTTCAAAAAAGAGGGTGCACTGGGAACTTTAAAACACATGCACACACAGACACACAAACAACACACACACACACATGCCCCACAATATAAAGTTAATTTTAATAAAACTCAAATATTATATAAAATATTTTAAATGTTCCTTTTAAATTATCATCACATTTTATTAAATACAATACCAAGATCACATGTGGATTTTCTAAAATTTGGATGCAGTTTCTGGAACTCTTTGGAAAGTTACTCATCATTGCTGAAATGTTCCTGAATTCTGCAGATATGTGGTTATGCTGTCAAAATCAACTAATAATGCTTTATTCTCCTTATATGACTAACTTTACTGTTAATTTCTCTTCATATTTACTATTGATTTCTCTCTTTATATTTCCATTCCTTAGTACCCCAGATATTATATGTGACAGACATGAATATACTCTTTGTCTAATATGCCTTAGAGCTATTCATATGCTACCCCAGTACAACTTTCATAATGTAGCCCTTACCTATAAAAGCTTACATCACTTTCCTATAGATTAATTTTATCCATCTTTGCTCATGTTTCATTGTCTTTCAAATAAATATGTTAAAAATCAAAAACAGATTTATTACTTTTAATAATCATTTAATAATAATGAAAATGGCCATGTAATACTTTACTCATAATGTGAAACATAAATATCTGAGTTATTCAATTACATACCTCCTTCTGGAGTCTTAAATGTTTCATCTGGGCTTGGTGGTCCTTCTCCTTTCCCATTAAACACTCTTACATTCAGTTTATAAGAACTAAAAGGCTCTAATCCCGGTACCATTCCATGCGTTCTATTTCCACTGAAAGTCAACATTCTTTTTTCCACATGCCGCTTAATTTTTCCAGATAAATGTTTGACTTTCCAATAGTAAATCTAAATATATATTCAAGGATATTTTAAAGTTTAATTTATGCTGTTCTAAGATTGCATTATATTATACAGCCCAAATGTATTTTGAGACAAGCAATTTAGCATGCTACATCCACATCCACAATAATATTTTTTGAAATTAAACATTTAAAATAATTTAGTTAAAGGAAATCCATAGATTTCTTCCCTAGTCATCACTATCCAGTTGAGTGACCTTAAATTATCAGTGCAAACATATTTAATATATTAGTATATTAGACTACTGTAGTATTTGAAGCAGATAAACTGCCTTCAAATCTGTACTCATATTATCAGCTGACTCTGATTTAGATAGCTCTTAGCACAGTCTATTTCATAAGGTTGTGAATAATACATTAGAGAGATAATATTATAGGACTCCTTAGGAAATGGCTAGCATAAATTAAATACATAAACATGATATAAGTTTTGCTGATTTTGTATGCACATTCAACGAAGTCTAAATACTGGTATGACATAATATAGAATTTATGTTACACATGTTACAAGGAATACTTAAGTGTAAATAATAACAGTGGTTAGACTAAAAACTGTTTCTGACAAACATCAACTAATAGCCATTCTCATAGACCAAAAAACACAAAATAGCAAAAGCAGTTACTCTGGTCTAGCATCTCAACAATTAAAATAAACAGATAAGGAAACCTCACACTCAAATACATCTGCGGATATTTTATACTAAATGTTGTTTAAGAAATTTCTATGGTTAACTTACTTTGTATCCCTGAAGATGACCCCGGATAAACTTTAATGGAACTGGTTCCCACTGCACCTTCGCTAACGTACTGTTTACAATTTGTACCTGTAAATTTCCTGGAGCAATCATTGGCACTGACAAGGACAAATGCAACAAATCCAAGATTAGAACCACTTGCATGTGTTTATAACGTTCTTTGAATTTCCTAAATGTAGAAAATTAATTCTGAATTCTATATTTGTACCACAATATTATTACTACTCAGAAAAGTCAGCTAAACCAAAAATTATAATAAAAACAGAATCAAAGTAAGAAACTTACAGTCTTCTCCAGAATGTCCAATTATTATTAAAGGGTCAGGTGCAGGTCCTAAGTCATTTAATGCTTGTACTTTTATCTCATATGGAACAAACGTTGGTGTATCAGCTACAATATATTTAGATACATTTGCAACTGTAACTGATGTCCATTCATCTTCACCATCATTCTGTTGCCAACTGACTTTGTACTGAAGACCTGGACCATTGGACTGAAAATCAGTTAAAGGCTAAAATGAAAAATAACAAAGGTATGATTTTTAATTATTCATAAGAGAATGAAGATAATATAAAGTTAATAGTTTTGTTCCAACGATTGCTAGAAAGTGGTGATTTAATCAGAAATTTCTTTCATATTCATGCATGGCATATAGTTTAAGAAATCTTACTAATTTAATGACTCTTTACCTTGCTCTTCAGTTTAAAATAAATCTCAAGTGATGCTCACAGGGGGCAACAGTAGGCAAAAGGTCCTCTGACATCAGTCTAAAAAAACATGCTAATAAAAGAAATGGCACTGGAAAGGACTAAAAAGAGGGGAGGAGAAATGACAAAATAAAAAATCATTTCCTTCTATAATCTTGTACTTCATGGGTGGCATAATGAAAATAAAAGTATCCTAACAGAACAATCTATTTCTGATATAGTTGCATTGCCGAATGACAAGGAATCATAAATTAAAGAGCTATGGACTGCATATATTGCTTAAATATATGCATGTAAGTTGTAACTTACTCATGGGTACTAACAATAAAGTTGGTCCTTTGTTTTAGCATTATCACTAGAAATTAGTATTTCAAGTCCCATATTTGGTCCTAGATATGTACTACATTGCTTTATAGCATATTATACAGCAGAGTCATCAGATAATTCAAGTACCACAGTTTGAGTGATACTAATGGCATTTCAGTGGGTTTTTTATACAACAGCAAGTCAATCTTTAAAAATGTGTTGCTGTTTTTGTAAGCTTTTTGCCATACATTTGGGAAAAGTGAATACTAGTCATACTGCCTTCAGTATTTTATGTTTTCAAAAAGCTTACCTTCCAAGTGATCACCAAATTATTAGGTTCTGTTCCAATCCCTTGAACATTAATAGGATTGTCATCTGGCTCTAAAAATTTAAATTTTTATATTTAAGTAAAATTTAGACCACAGTAGTTGAATGTTATTTATATATTAAGCAGATACATATTTACTTGCAGGTTTTGTAAAGTACTTTTCAGAAGCTTCACTTGGTTGGCTCCTTCCAATTTCATTGACAGCTATTACACGAAATGAATAATTCACATATGGTGATAACCTTAACTTTACAGTTGTGAACACATTAGGGACTTCCATTTGGTAATTCCATATTCCTGGTTCATGCAAAGCATCTTCATATTCAATAATAAACCCTGTAAATAAAGTTAAAGTAAATTTTCCTTTATAAATCCTTATTTTCTTCTCATATGACTAGCCAAATACACATTTTTGAGAAGAGAGTGTGTTATTATACCAAGAGTGTTGTATATGCTTGCAAATGGAAGATTCTGAAGGTCAAATTTTACTTGAAAGCAATCAAACTTTGCAGGACTGGACATGAATTATAATATAAATATGGCACAATATTTCTGAACAACATTAAGTGAAAAACTGGATCAAAGAAGTAACATCTCTTGTATTTTGATACAGAAAAATAGAGGATATTGCTACTGAATAGATAATTTATATTAGTAAGTAGTTTAAATAAATAGGTTGTTTACATTGCTATTTTGCACTGCAGTTCAGTGCTTATGCAGAGGCACTTTTCAGAAGCCTATTTTAACAGTAGTTTAAATGAAAACGATCAAACAAATGCTGTTTATTGCAAACAACAGAATGCTAAATGACATTCCAAATAAATAGAACAATCATACTTGTAATGGGGCTATTATTTTCATTGCCCGGTATCCAAGTGAGTTGAGCACTTCTTTCTAAATGATCTGTTAATTCCAAATCGTAAGGTGGATCAGGATGATCTGAAAAGGGAAGTAAACAACTGTTACATTCTAGGAAAAATTCTGAACAAGCTTGTTTACCATATGATTGGGTGACCACTAGTATACAACTGCAATGAAAATGGTACAACTGACTTTGCTGGGAAACAATGCAGAACAAAGGCAGATTACATAAGTTCTAATAACAACATTGTTTTGCATTATATAGTAACAATAAATGAAAACTTTTTTCTCATGGTTCACCAGCAATTTCAGTTTATGAGATGTGGTAATGATTATAGCACTACTTTATGTAAAACGAACATTTCTTTATACAAAAAGAAAATAAAAATACATTCAATAACTAAAAAAAAAACTGTTTCAGAATTACATCGTTATCAGACCAGACCCTCTATATTGGCATTTAATCTTATATAGGCTAACACAGACTTGATGTTTTTAACTTACTGAGAAAGAGGTTTCTTTTTTTCTACCTCTTTCAGAATCAGAAACTGATTTTTGCTTAAAGTATGAAGGAGCCGGGGAAGTCCAATACAACATAAACATGATGTTTTCTCACAGAAGAAATAGGTCGAAGGCTGCATCAGCACTGCCAATGTGAGTCTGTGAGTCTTTAAGATCCAACAGAAAAGGGGAAATATGATTTACATTCTTTACCCTAACTGATTCTGATAAGGAATGACAACCTATCGTAGAATTCAGGGCCAGGAAAGGTAATAAGAGTTTTTAAAGTCATGCATTCCTTGTTAGATTTTTAAATATGTATAATATATATATGAATATAAATATGTATAAGGTAGCAAACAAAATTGAAAAGAAAGGTAGCAAAAAAAATTGAAAAGAAAATAAAGGATAGATGTTCCAGTTACTGGAAATGTTATTTAAGTATAAAAGTGATTGAATAAGAATGTCTTAGAAATTTAGAAGGAAGATGCTACCACTCATAACTACCTTTCAAACATAGGAAACTAAAGATTAATTAATTAAATAATGCTTTAAAAGATAGATTCCTTAAATTTAAATTCAACCCCTGATGTCTTTATAAAAATGTCTACTCTATTATTATGGAGAATATATCAGCAACCCATTAGGTGAAAAATTGTTTTCTCATCATATCCCACAATCAAACTGACATATGGCACCTATCACAAAAATTACCCGAAACTCATTCTAAACTGGTAAGATTTTGCTCAAAAAGTATGTGTCTACGATGAAAATGCTTAATAAATTAATAATAAAATGTTTGTTTCTTAATTAGGGGGAAATAGTTGCAACAAAAAATATATTAAATGTACAAATCTTAAAGAATAAAGAGGGCAATGAGGAGTCCAGGTTTGGCATAACTTAGAACATTTAATATATGTAGACTTAATTTTGGGCAGAAACAATATGCATTTTTAAAATCTTACATTCAGTAGCAATAAACTACTAACAGCCCATAAAAAGGTCTATATATATGCTGAAGATTATGTCACTGAGAAATTAGAAAGTATTTTTAAAAATAATATTAAACTATGCTTAACAAATGATAAAAAGCAGCTGAATGTTACACGAGTTTTAATAACTCGTTCAGGCAATTATTTGAGAAATTTATACTGAAGACAAGTTTGATTTAATTATAATAATGAAACAGTTTAGCATTTCAATCATAAATAAAAATAGTAACACAATTCTCATCAGATTTAACATAAATATACAACCAATCAAAAATAAAAAAAGAAAGTTTCAATTTGAAAGAAGCAGAAAGTTTAGGAAGATTTGGTATATAATGCAAGCAAGACTTATTAGTTTACCGTAAACAATAGGTGGAACAGTTGGAGGAGCTGGAAAAAAGGATATTAATATAAACTATAAAACTTGTGTTAGTGGTCAGAATAAAGCAACACTGATCATATTTATTACTAACATGACTTGCTATTGTAATAAAATGTAATTATTTTATTTACAAAAATGTAAGTGCCTAATATGCATTGCATGAAAACAACAAAAGCCTCTTTTATCTGAGTCCTGAACAGCCCTGCAGACAATTGACAAAACTATAGACTCATCATATTGAAAGGGATCATTTAGGCCATGCAGGCCAATTGCTTGCACAATGCAGAAACTTTAAGCATTCCAGACAGAAATTTGTCTAGCATCCATCTAAATACTTGCAAAGAAGAAGAACCCACATCTTTGGGTCCCAGCATTGAAATTTAACTTTTAAGAGGTTTTATTCCTCCATTAGCATTACTGGAATTAGCTTTTTTACTATGTAAGTCTTCAATTTACATAGTTCCAAATTTCTTCCAAAATAAGCGAGAACAAGTGTTTTTGTGTGTCACATAGCTGAGAAGTGCTATCATTCCACTTACTTACTGTCAACTTCTGAAATAAACCTGACGGAAGCCATCTTTTTCGTTCTAAGTTGCCACATACATGGGGAAAGAGGGGGGAAGTAGTATTGCTATTTGTATGCTAGATAAAACACCGAGTAGTCCCATGGGAACCAAGGTCATTCCCACAAGTGCTGGAAGGAGGAGCGAAGACGATTTGAGAAGCCCGCCAATTGCTTTTATTGGGCAGTGTGATTTATAACATCGTAGAGGGGAGGGAAGTGTTACTTTTAGTTACTTTAATCTCTAGGGAAATTTCAGGGTTGGTTTCACTTTTGACCATGCCGATATTATGTATCCAATAAACATGTGCTTTGAGGAAACTTCAAGCCTCAGAGTTCTGCTTTATGTGGTTTCATTAGTAGGAACCTTGACACTTACCCTATCAGTTTTTCTCAAAACCAAAGATTCCAGTTTAGCCAATTTCTCTTTACAGGATAACCTCTAATAATTTTGGTTGCCTGCTCTAATCCTTTTCCTATTTCTCTGACTCCTGCTTGGTTTGCTGACCAGAACTCAAGAAATTACTTTAAATGATGTAACTAAAATAAAATAAAATAAAGTAACTATTTTCTATAATTTGGAAATTAGGTTTTTGTTAATGATCCCTAATGCTGCATCTGTGTATATGTATATGTGTATATTTGCAGCCAAGATTTACGGATGACTTATATTGTTTATATTTGATTACATCAATATCATAATAAAACCATGAATCCCCCATCCTCTGCACATACATCTGATTTGTCTTACTTAAGTGAATAATCTTTTTCACTTCACAGCTAAATTTCATTCTGTAATTTTCAGCTTATTTCTCTAATCTCTGAAGATTTTTTAAAATTATTTCCACCCTCCAGATTGCCTATCTCACTTAGTTTTATATCACTTGCAATTTGATAAGCATTGCCTTAACTTCAACCAGTTATTAATGAAAATATTGGCAAATATGGCAAATTTTGAATATTGTAATATTCTTCAGGATAATCCAACAACTAACAAAATATCGAACCATAACAGGTATTTCTTTAGAACAGTGATGGCGAACCTTTTAGAGACCAAGTGCCCCACCCCCCCCACTCTGTCCCTTGCCTCCCCTGCTCCATCCCCGTGGTCTGTGCCCGCCCACAGGGCCACCCACTTCCTCCATGGCCTGCCGTAGATCACCCAGGCGGCCCAGCAGTGCCATGGCAGCCCTCCTCTGCCCGCGCCCCGCAGCATCAACTGCGTGCAGTGGGGCGTGACGGCGGAGTCTTATCCCCGCTGCCCAGCTGCCATGTCCTTGGCTGTGCTGCTCTGCACAGGCTGCGCTCGGGGGCGACTCTCTGGGGAGGCTGCTAGTGAGGAGAGGGGGAGGCAGGGCTGGAGCAATGGCGCGGGTGCCCACAGAGAGGGCTTTGAGTGTTGCCTCTGGCACGCGTGCCATGGGTTCGCCATCACTGCTTTAAGCATACTGATATTTTGTTTCTCTCATTTTAATAATAGTATGTGCACCTCCAAGCTTTCTTGAAATCTATCAAATAAGGCAATTAGGTCTTTGTGTGTTACTTCCCTGCTTATGAAAAACCATACTTTTCCATAAAACCTCGAGCTGCTATGTAGGAGAAAATGCTTTCTAATTGGATATGGAGTCTTAAAACAAAATTAATTTTAATGATGTCTACCTTACCAAATATAAATTCCAAGGAATTAAGATATTTTAAAATATTTTTCAATCAGATACAGGTTACTTTTTAACCCAAGGAAGCTAATTTATGAAATCACATTATAAACAAAGATACATGATAATGATAATGCACACAAAACCCTAAATATTAAGATTCTGGCATGAAAAGGGAATCTATACAGAGAAAACTCAGAACTATATTTTCTTAGATCAGGTCCAAATGACAGATATTCTAAAAGCTACCATAGTTTCAGACAAGTATATAAGAAATCATCCTGTCTTGTCTAGTTGCTTTCTATAACACTTTGGGTTCAAACCTAAGATAGCATTATAGTAGCAACTGAAAAATTAGTTTGGTTGAATTTATGGGATCAAAATATATTCTTACTTTTAGAATAGTCCAAAACTGTAATATCAGAATAGCTTAAAACCAGTTAACATTTTCACAAAAATATAACAGGTTTGCTTTTGCTTTAATTCTACATTAAGAGAAATCTTACCCACAACAGTGAGTACAGCATTTGCAGAAACACTATCCAGTGTAGTATTAGCTACGCAAGTATATTCTCCACCATCCTTATCAGTGACATTCATAATTGTCAAGTTGTATTTACCTATAATAAACCTGCAATTACAATACATTTAATTATTCCATTATTGCAAGCAGTTCTAAATATATAATTCATTAGTTGTAGTAAATCGCAATAACATCTTAACATAGATGTACTTGTAACTTGACAGCAGTTCAAGAAGGAATCCAAAGAAGAAACCAAATTAGATGACTAGAATCCATTACAAAAAAGGAAAGAAGATATAGTGAAATTATGGGATCAGTTAGAACAATGGCAGAATAACAAATGTAGATACTTTTAATTTATTTATTACAATGATTTGTTGCCCATTTAAGAACTTTCTGATGAGTTGTGATTAATTTCTCTTAGTATTAGAAGTTTAAATATTACAAAATAAATTCACCAGAAGTATATTTGAAATATGCATTCCACAGACATTGCTCAAACCAAAACACTAAGAAATGATATGCATTATGGAAAAATAACAGAAGAATCTGCTGGGGTTGTGTGTCAAAGCAAGGAAATTAAAAGAGCAGTGTAACAATACAAGCTCCATCCCTTTTGTATGCGTGTCATCATATCACGCATATGTATGAAATAAGTGAAACTTGCATCCTAGTGGCATGATGCTGCTTTTATCATCTTCGTGAAAGCATTAGAACCTGTTATTGTTTTAGTAACATTAGTTTAGTGTAATGTGTTAATCATTACACCATTCTGGTTTTCTTTTCTCTTTGCAGTTGAAATATAATCCCAGGAAAAGATACTTGATGAATATATCAAAAGATGCAGTATGATGTTACACAGAGGGTTTACCTATACTGAATCTTATTATAGCATACATGCCTGGTAGACAGAAATCATAATTGGTGCATTGCAGAAAGCACTATCTTAAAAGTATAGTAATACTTTATCTGCAACAGGATATATTATTAAATTATATCTGGACTATTAAATCCCCTTGTTAATGTTTTATTAACTTGCAAAGAATGGGGCTAGGGTTAGGAATACGTACCGTCCATCATCAGGCAATTCATCATTTTCCTTCAACCATATAACTGTAGGTATTAATGTTGCATCATATTTAATTACACATTCAAAGAAAACCTGTTCCATCCTTTGTACAACTTTGTATTCAGGCTGCTTAATAATCATTGTGGGTTCTGAAACATAAAATAATTACTAAGATACTTAACAGTTACAAACTGTCAAACAGATAAGGAGGCTTTTATTTCAGAGCCATGGTTTCTTACCCTTGATTTCTAATTGAACACTATTCTGTGCTTTTCCTAGTTTATTTCTTGCTATGCAGGTGTACATGCCACTGCTGTCCTTCTGGGCTTTCAGAATTTCCAAGGTGCCATTATTATGGAAAACATACTGGTTGCCCTGGAGAATGCTACCTTTCACTCCTTGAAACCTATGTATTGGAAAGAGATTGTCCAAATTATGCATTATTTGGAGGCAACATGTCTACTGCATCCCTATACCCCAATAGAGATGTAATAATACTTGATAACCTATAGAAAGATGATTATATGCATACTTAACAGAAAAAAACAAAAGAACCAACTCACCCAAACTGTAAAATAAATGATTAGATTTAACACACCTATTTTTTTTAATATAATGTTTGGGACTACAGCATATCACATAAAGCTAACATTTTCATTCCTTCAACTCCATGCTCTGAAATTGCTGTTGATCCCTGGGTGATTCTGTTGATGAGAGCACTTAGTAGGGGGAATTATTTACCCCTGTGATCCCAAACCTAATTGACTCCCCTTCTACTGGCAGTTATTTAAAAGAAAAGATAATGATTATTTATAGTCATGGATGTAATTAGTCATCAGATGTTTGCTAAGTAGTATAAGACAAATTAATTATGTATAAAATTGGAAATTAAATGAATTAATCAAGGTTTCCTTCACATGAAATGGAAGACAAACAATTAAAGTATACAAAAAGTATCTCTATTTAACTTTCCAGATTCTCACAATATATACTAGTTTAATGTACATTAAGCATGATTTCCCTCCCTCCCCATTGTGAGCGACTTACCATTCAGCTTCAGGCATAGGCGAACCAAAAAAAGCACAATCTAGCAATGCAGGCTTATTTTCAATGACTTGATAAAGTTTATTATATGAAGTAAGGATTCTTGGTGGTTCAGCTGAAAATAAAAATATATTTTTAAATAGTGTGACTATTTTGAATGCATTTGTGTAGGAAAGTTTATAAATCTAGACATATACTTTATATTTATATAAGTTTTTATGTCTAGCATTGATGATGTTATAATAATTATATTATATACAATATTGTATATAATATTGTTACAATAACATGTAACAATAATGTTGCCATTATCGTACCCTAAGTGAATTACAGATGTTACAGATATGTAACTTTGGAAAAAAATGTATTTCGTTCCAATAAATGCAATATTTGAGATCTCAATAATAAATTTATTATGATTTTTTTTATTTCCCAAGATAGTTCTCTGCCTTATATCTTATGTAATAATTTGAATAAGACTAGTAACCTTCTAAGAACAAAATTTTTAGGGGTTGTCTTTAAGTCAGACATTCCTAACCTGGGGACCACCTGTAATCCAGTTTGGCATAGCAGTTAAAGTAGCAGGCTAAAAATCAGAAGAATTTAAATTCTTGTCCCACTTTAGGCACAAATCCAGTTGGATGACTTTGGGCCATATACTCTCAATTGTAGGAAGAAGGCAAGGGCAAACCACTTCCAAAAATGTTGCCAAGACAACTGCAGGGACTTGTGCAAGCAGTCACCAGGATCAGTACTGATTTGAAGGCACACATATCTTAAAAAGTTGAGTAACCCAAATAATTTTCTTATGCAAATTACGTAGCACTTAGCCAAATGATCCCCCAAATAAAGATGAATAGGATTGTATGTAAGAGCGATGGCTCAGTGGTTAAATGATGCTTAGCTTCTCAGTTGGAAAGCTGAGACCCTGTGTTCGAGACCCAAGCACCATATAATGGGTGAGCTCCCATTACTTGCCCCAGCTTCTGCCCACCTAGCAGTTCAAAATCATGTGAGTAGATAAATAGGTACCACTTCAGTGGCAAGGTTAACATTGTTCTGTGCACTTTGGCATATAGACATGCTGGCCACATGAACATGGAAATGTCTGTGGACAACTCTGGCTCCCTCGACTAAGAAGCAGGAGATGAGTACCGTCCCCTAGAGTCGGGTCCAACTGGACAGGGGAAACTTTTAACTTTATTCGATCTAGCCTACTAATCCCCCAAAATAAAGATGAATAGGACTGCATGTAAGACTTTGTTGGGACTGACATTTGATGTTAAGATATCAAATCTGGCATTCATTATACACTTTTTTATTCATTAACTATACTGGTTTATGTATTTTAAATATAATTAAATTTATATTAATATAATAATATAACTTAGGTGCTAGAAAGACATGCCCAGTAAATATTAAAAGTTATCAATGAGTCAATATTGTAGCATGTATTGTCTACTGAGTAATAAAACACCATTATTATTGGATTTTTAATTTTTAAAAAGCACCTAAAATATTACCTAAAATATTCACAAATGCATTTGCTAATAGATATCCATATTGATTAGAGGCATTACACTGGTACACAGCACTTGATCTTTCTTGCACATTAGTGAAAATAATTGTATCACCATCAATTTTTCTGCTGAGATCTTCAGGAGCAACTGTTAAAACACACAGGATAGATTAAATTATTAAATGCTGAAAAATTGTTCTTTGATTGTAAGAAAATAATTTGAAGAAAGATCAGAAATACTGTAAGAAATATAACAAAGTTATATTTATATTATAAATTATATATTATAAATATATAATTTATAATATAAGTTTGAACATTCACATCACAAATTTTATGACTTCTATTACTTTATCATGTATTATTATTATATATTATTTTGCGAACATCATAGTTTTCTTCAGATGATTATTTATTAACTCTAGAAATACACACACAAACGTATTCCTTCACTCTGTCATGCACCAACCTTATTCTAACTCAGAATTACATAGTTTAATATTAGTAGTCCAAATCAGGATATGATAATTAGATTTCAAGCCAGTGGATCATTTGTTTCAGAAGAATATTCCTGCAAGCTAGCTTTTGATTTTATATATAGGCTCAGTATTTCTTAATATTATCTGACATGCACTTACAACGGGAGATGGAAATTAGACTAGAATTTTCTTCGTGCAAAATATACACTACTCAGTTGTGGTTTCTCTTCTATTCTTTGATAGATCAAGGGTAAGCAGTTGTGTCACTATAAATATTTCTATAATTCCCAGCAGAAGGGTCAGTAGTGAAGAAAGCTGGGAGCTATAGCAGATGTTCATAGGCTTACTTCTGGGTTATATGCAAATAGAATGGGATATTTTTTTCCTCAAAAGATTAAAACATAGCAAATGCTCCTAATATAATTAGGAAGGCAATTTCATACTCTTCTTCCCCATTTATCTTTGTTACTCTCAATTCTGCTTCCCATCTTGCTTGGAACATCTTCAGACTGCTTAGAATTCTTTTTAGAGTGTACAATCAAGTATAAAAATAAGTGTAAAATTAATTGTACAATTAAATGTACAATCAGCTATATATCAATTGAGCATCCCAGTGGATAAAAAACATGAATCATCATTTATAAAAATATAGTATTAAAAATCTTCTTAAAGTGCTTCTCCATTATATGAGCTTAGCAATAGGACTTTCTTATCCCTTTCCTCTAATTAATTGCCTCACATGCGATGCTGGCTCTCTCTTTGTGAGATACAATTTGAAATGTTCTCTTCCAGTGTCCCTGAATCAATGTGCATAGCAACTTAATGGGAAAGAAAAAATAAACTTCAGAAAGGGTTGAATAGTACTCTGGTTTAGAAACATCAAGGAACTACTATTTCACACTGAAGCATTTGATATAATTGGTTTTAGATTCCTTTCTTCAACTTCTTAACTAATGATCTGACTATTTTGCAGATTCAAAAGCTCTTATTTTATAAGACAAAATATCATTCATTTCTTCATAAATAAATAAATAAATGGTGAATTCATAATTTTCAATTTTAGACTTAATCAAGTTATTCTCTCTCTTTCTGTGTAATCTTTAAAGAATAATGTACATTTCTCTACTTACATTAAATTATACCATGAAAGCTCTACAAATGTGAGAAACGTTTTGCTGATTCTTAACAAAACTTTGACTACTTGTTCAAAATCTTATATTGACAAAACCACTATTATCAAGCAAGAATTTCACATAAAAGTGAAAACAGCCCATACTTTCAACTGGAATTCCGTTTGCTAACCAGCTTATGCTGGGTTTAGGATTGCCATTAGTTCTACAAATCAAGGAACCATCTTCTCCAGGAGATAATACAAGGTTTGTAGGTTCTTTTATCCAATAAGGGGCAGCTGAGTTTAAAAGAAAGAAGCAAAAACATTCAGCAACTAGGTTGCATAGATTAATATAATTAATGTCAAAACTCCAAATACATACAGAACAAAAATGCATCTATTAAAATAAATTAGAATAAATTGTTTCTTTAATAATCAAAAGTTTAGCAGCATTTTTTCAAACTAACAAATGTTATTAAAGGCATAAATGTTCATTAGCTACAGCTCACTTCATTCAATCATCTTCATATGCTTGGTTATGATTCTAAAAAGATGCATAAATCATCTTTTTATACTAAGAGCTATTTAAATTCAATAGTATATAAAATGTGTGGTAGAGACCTCTTTTCCAATCCCTAAAAATCTTCTTATATCAGAGGCATAGTGAGTTGAGAGACTGAACGATGAAAAGAATAACAGAAAATACAACTATGGATAGTCCTTGCTCAACATTCATTTGTTAGGGGCTGTTTGAAGTTGAACAAAAGGATGTATAAGCTGGCCAAATTCTGGCCATTGCAGTGCCCCTGCAGTCACATGAATAAAATTTGAGCCTACTTGGGACCATCTGCATTTACAACTACCACTTGGCTGTTTGCCTACCCACTGCTACCAGCTGCCCCTGCTACTGGCCTTGCCCCTCACAACAGCTGTGCCTGCCACATTGTATGCCACTACTGAACCAGCTGGGCCCTTTTTTGTGCCACCTTCTTTCATGGAAGTACAGCTGGGGGGTTTCTCTGCCATTCCCACAACCTCTGTTTGCGTGCCAGCCAGCATCTTCATGTGCAGCTAGGGTCTCTGTTCATTTGCAGCTAGGGCAAAAGAATACGGTATGAAAGAAGGCTGTCAAGGATGTAGTAATACATGTTGCAGCAGTTAGCAGAACTGTGGCGCAGGAGCAGCTGGTGGGAGTGGATTGGCAGGCAGCTAAAAGGGAAGAGATGTGAGGCAGATGGGTGGAATTCAAGAGGAAGCAGACTTTACCTTACTAGACTCATGACTGGAAGGGCCAAGTCATGAATGGCTTGGATTGGGGTGAAACCTTGCCTAACAACCAGAGGCATTACCATCATATTTTTTAAAAGATTTTTTAAAAACTTGCCTTTATTACTTTTACAAATAATTCAAGATGGTAGACATACCTAATAATCCTTCCTCCTCCTATTTTCGTCACAACAACAAAGTGACTTTCAGCTGAGAGAGAATAATTGGCTCAAAGTCAGCAGCCAGTTTATATGCCTCAGGCACAACTAGAACTCACCGCCTCCCGATTTCTAGCCTGGCGCTATAATCATGAGATCAAACTGCCTCTTTTTTGGTTATTAGATCCTATGTTATTCAAAGTTTTGTCTAGCAAATTTCTGATCCGGCTCTCGAAGAATTCTTGATAATCAGATTTAAGATGTACCCAGAAATGCCAAATTTGAGCAATTTTAGGCCAGAAACAGCATGCAATTGTGATGCTTCTATCATCCCTGATGCTCTCTCCTTACTGCACTGACATGTTGCAGTTTATTACAACTTTTACAAAATTTTTATTTTCCTTTAACATTTCTTTCCTATCACTGGTTTTATTATTTATTACTTCACCCACTATAATATCATGGAATTAAAATATAGACTTAAATGAAAGAAAAGTGTAACTGAAACCCTCAGAAACTGAAAAGTTGACTACAACAGTCCATCAGATTTAAATATATCCTCAGATTACGTTTTACATATTTGAAAGTCCTCCTTCTTCTCATGTTTATTATGAATTATCAAGAAGAATTTTAAGACACTAAGAAAATTAAAAGTTGCTATAAAATCCCAATTAATCATATGCAACTTGGCCACTTTTATTTTTATTAAAGGATGTATTGCTGATCTGGCATGAATGTGATTTCAGAAATGTTGTTTAAAGAATATACATGTAAACTTTTAAATGCCAAACAAGACAACAGTAATTTTACCTTTGACATTGACTGTAATAACATGGTAAGCAGAACCCAAACGATTTGTTGCCATACATTTGTATTTTCCTGAATCAGCTTGAGAAACAGCTATAATTTTGAGGGTTTTATGAAAATTTTCAAAGAAAGTCCTGTTGACAGGAAGGTCACCACCCTCTTTGCTCCAGCGGATTAATGGCGTAGGTCTAACAGAAGAAAATATCATTAAGAACAATTGAGATTACAATGTTTAAATAAAGTACATTTTGGAATTGTTTTAATAATTAAATTAATTTAATAATGGTTTTAAATCCAAACATAATCATTTATTCTAAGCTTTGTAAAAGGTACTAAATACTTATTATACAGTATTTAAATTTTATTGGCTCTATTGCCTATACTATATGTTATCTTAATTGGACAGGGCTGAAAGACAGTATTGCCATTTGCTATAATTTGGTCAACTATAATAAATGTAATGGTATGTGGGAAAGACCTTGGGAGGCTGAGCAAGGAAATGCTGCCAGGGGAATGATCAGATAAAAGACAGCATAGCCCACAGCTGTATAGTGGGTATCCACAGTTGTATAATGGTATTATTACTCTTATTTTCCTTGATTAAAATGACAACTTACAATCCTTCTGCAATACATTCCAGCATAAGAGTGTTTCCTCTTAGTTCGATTTTGCTACTTGCATTTCCAGCAGGAGTTAGAAGAGATGGCTGTCTTTCGGAATAAAATCTGACTAAAAAAAAAAGACATAAAATTATATATCATTTAAATGGAATCAAAATTTACACTAAAACTAATTCTTTGTACCCAGTGCAATGCATGCATGAACATGGATTCAGTAGTTATATAAAAAGTGTTTTGCCTAGGGTTCTATGACTTATTGGATTACATAACCATTTTGGCAAGAGATAATTTTGACAGAGATAAGGCTTTTGCTTTGTATATCAAAACTGTGATCAAATTTGCAGTTTAAAAAAAATGATAGAAAATGCTTTTCCTATCATTTTTTTTAAACTGAAAATTTGATTACAGATTGCAAAAGCAACTTTTTCTTGGAAAATTTATTATTTAATTCTAGTATAAACATTCTTAGGATAAATAAAACACAATAATGAAAATACTAGGTATTGAGTTATAATGATGGGTAAAACTTCCATGGAAAATCTTTGATTTTGAACTATATATTAATTTTAATTGTTATACAATTTAATTTAATTATCTTCCATGTATATTCAAACTCTTGCTCTCATTAATGGGATTCTGAATAGTTATAAGCAAAGAGGACATAGAGAAGGTCCTTATGTACAGTAGCTCAATCCAGCTTTAGTTCATGGGGTGGGATGTAGTCTGGATTCCAAGAAAGGAGGGGCTGCATTCCATAAACAAAGAGGCATGAAATATTTGATTGGGAGGAAGACATTAAGAAGGAGGCTCCTCCCTAGCAGTTCCCAGAGTATAACTATATTGAGGCAAATAGTTTCTTAGTTTGACATGATTTCTGTCTATAAGGGAGAACAATAAAGGAAACTACTCAGAAATAACTCCATGTGTATTTCTTAGTACCTAAGAGTCTTGGCAGTTCCACAACCTCTCTTAAGAAAATACTAGAACTGTAATTTGATATAATTTTATTCTTTAGGGGTTTCTAATATCTGCTCATATTAACTTGGGAATTACTTTAAATAATGGACTAAAGGTGTATCCAGGGAGAAAGATGTTATAAAAAATAGTATGTTCCAGAAATCTAGAGTGATAGGTTGTCCTGCCCTGTTTTCTGCTTATGAGCTTCATGCATTCAAAGAAAATAAGTTACCTACTGTTTTAAGGGGAAAGGAAAATTATCAAGCACTGTATCTAACACTTACACAAAAGTTGCAAATCAGCCAATACAAAAATATTCTAATTTAAATGCTGTTTTATGAAACAGTAGAAGACAAATAGTATTCTATGTCTGTTTCTATTCCTTAAATAGTTATGGGCAATGTAAACTGAAAAGGAAAAAAATTGTACCTGAAGGTAGGTAAAGTGAAATAAAGGGAGCCTATGATATCAGGAATACTCTAATATATCTGCATCCATCCTATAGTCTAGGTATATTATTATATTATATTATATTATATTATATTATATTATATTATATTATATTATATTATATTATATTATATTATATTATATTATATTATATTATATTATATTATATTATATTATATTATATTATATTATTATATTATATTATTATATTATATTATATTATATTATATTATATTAATTATATTATATTATATTATATTATATTATATTATATTATATTATATTATATTATATTATATTATATTATATTATATTATAATATTATATTATATTATATTATATTATATTATATTATATTATATTATATTATATTATGTTGCATTGCGTGGATATTTATAGAAAGAATAATCATAATGAGAACCATAACTTTCTACCTTCATAAATAAATAAATAAATAAATAAATAAAATGTCACATTAGAACATGAATATTTTTAAACATGTAGCAAATATATTCATCTTAATACAAATTATTAAGTAGTTAACAATATATTTAGTAAGGTATTAAACAGAACAATAGTTTTTCCTTGCTTTTTAACACATTAATTATTTAGAATAAGTAGGAATTATTGTGTAGTTCCAGGAATGAATCATCAGAAAATTAAAAAAATGAAAAGAAAGATTGTTAGATTGATTCTTGGGTCAAAATGAAACATGTTCTTCATGCAAATATTCTGCTGTTATTTCCTAATTATCTAAACTTAATAATATTATGTAAATTATTTAACATATCTCCAGTTCTAATGAGATTTGTATTAATGTAGTATGAGCAGAAAGATTAAACAGCCATGAATTAATGTTAGTTAACTAAATTCTATATGAATGGAATAATGTTCATCTCTAAAACTCACCACCATAAAAATCAGAGTCATTCATATTAGCAGTTAATGTTTCATTCAATGAATCCACTGAAATAAACAGAATATCATGAAGAATGCAGCCAACAAAATTAAACGTGGGACTCAGAAATTAATCCTGTTATCACTACACTAATGCTTTTAACCTCAAGCACAAAGGAATTTGGAACACAATCAGTGACCCTTCTTAGTGTCCAACATATATAGATATATTTTGATTTCTCATGTTCAAGATAATCCTCTTCTGGCCAAGGGACACGTTTGATTCCTCCAAAGTTAATTTCCCCTATACTAAAAATTCCCAAATATTGAGGAAAATCCACCCATCTCATTCAAGAAAGTTTCTCAAAGAGGTAAGGGTTGCAATTGGCACAAATACAAAACAAAAATATTTAATCTTTCCAGGCTACAGAAGCTACAAGTTGCCCTTTCTGATCTACAATTTGCTTTCTTGATGTGATTATCACATGAAACTTCACTTGCAAGTAGTATCTCAATGGGTATCATTCCTAAAACCTTATCAAACTGTATTCAAATGAAACTTGAAATTTTGCTAAGCAGTTACTTAATCTTACTGATGTCAAAAGAATTAAAGTACTAAAACTATTTGAGAATAGCAGCATATACTGTTAAAGGTAGTCCTCGAGTTACGAATGTAATGGAGCCTGCCCATTCCATTCGCAACTCAAAAATTCATGGGAGTGAATCTCGTACTTGAACAAGATCACTCCCTGCTCATTAAGAAGCATGCAGCTCGTTAAGTGAACATGAGGTATCTCAGGGTGGGGAAGGCTATGGAGGGCCTAGTGATGGAACAGGCCCCCTGACCCACTAAGATACTTCATGCTTCCGCCTCCCTTTTCTGGGCAGCAGTGGCCTGGAAAAGACCTCTGACACCTGGATCGGGCCTCCAGAAGGCCGCCAAAGTATTCCCCGGCCTCAGATCTGGGTGGCAGCAGCCTGGAAAAGGCCTCTGGTGCCCAGATCCAGCCTCTGGAGGCACACAGAAGCATCCCCCGGCTTCGGTTCCATTCTCTATTGCAGAGAACAGAGGCCTAAAGTAGCATGAGATCACACAAGATCAGTAGAGTGAGATCTCTCGCCACTGATCTCGTGTGATCTTACATTACTTTAGGCCTCCATTCTCTGCGAACACACCGAAGGCCTGGAGCAGCCAAGAAAGCGAAGGACCTTGATCTTCACAGGGTGAGTACTGAAGGCCTAGTGCCTAGGGAGACCCAGGGGGAGGATGGGGAGGGAGGGAATAAGCAGGGTGAATGTTGCAATGCTACTGCGGTCACTCGTAAGGGTGAACAATTGCCATGGTGTGGCAACATTCATAATTTTGGGACTTGCTCGTAAGCACTAGGGGGCGCTTATCACGGAACTTTGAATGTTCGCTAGGGGAACGCTCACAACTCAGGGATTACCTGTATAGTGTTGTAATAAAGATATACTGCAAATTATTTTGACTCCTCTCTAAATATTTCATTGCAATATGTTCCAAGAAGACACAATTTTGCAAGAAAATGTTTTCTACTACTCCAATATAAATTATGTTTTGGCTAAATATAATGTCTACAAAGAAATTTAGAAATTCATACCTACCTGGTTCAACTTTTAATGAAATAGGTTGCTTCTGTTGAATAGTTTGAGTGTGGTTAAATCTTGCATAACATATATAATCTTCACGGCTATCTTCTTGTATTATATTAGAAAAATAAAGATCTCCATTTAGACTTTGTGAAACTCTATTATTTTGAGGCAGCTTTTGAAAAGCTATAAAAACAAGAAATGAAACATCTGTAGTGCCAGCTCACATTATAGAATTATTTTAAGCATATATGTAAATTATCAACATTTTCTTCTGACAAGCCACATCTGTTTTATAGCCACAAGGAATCCAGTTCAACTTGAAGGGATTTTTACTTTTAAGAGAAGTTTTGCTTAACAACAACTTAACAACAACTTCTATTACTATGGCAGTTTCAGAACTATGTTCCAGTTCATACTATAGTTTGTTTAGCTCATTCCATGCATGGGACACATACTTTATTAGTTTCAGGATATTTATTATATATTCAAAATTGAAAATATAATTACAATACCTAAAGTAGGACAGACTGTTAAAAGGAAGCAATAGATTCTAATAAACAAAGAATATTAATTACAATAATATGACATTAGGTCTTGTTCAACAACAGAAATTATAAAAAAGATATATAATTGTAGATAACCTATGAAAGCATTCTCCACTAATCACATTACAATCACTATTAACAATTAGACAAAAATAAAGATATGAAATGTATTTAAAACAGTATAAGCAAACATTTCTTGGAAATCTATTGTCTAAGCATCATTGCTAAGAAAAGAACCACTAAGATTTTAGTAATTGGACAAGTCCAGTTTTAAATATTTAAATAATCACTTGGAATTATAGCATAAGCCATAGTCTGAAACAGTTCAAACATATTAGGCATTTCTTGTCACACAAAAAGGAAAATACAAGATTGCTTTCTAATGTAAATCTACATAATAAAAATTGATAAACTCCAATAAGCCTATTGATTTATTAAACATTTACAACCCTCTCCATCGAACAGTCAATCAATTTGTAGCATCCAGTTTAATTCTATCCTTGTCTTCAATAAAGCTCAATGAGTAACCTAGAACTAAGGAGAAACTTCCTGACAGAACAGTTAATCAGTGGAACAACCTGCCTCCAGAAGTTGTGAATGCTCCAACAGTGGAAGTTTTTAAGAAGAGACTGGACAACCATTTGTCTGAAATGGTATAGGGTTTCCTGCCTGAGCAGGGGGTTGGACTAGATGACCTCCAAGGTACCTTCCAACATTGTTGTTGTTGTTGTTGTTGTTGTTGTTGTTGTTGTTGTTGTTATTATTATTATTATTATTATTATTATTATTATTATTATTATTATTATTATTATTATTTCTGCTTGTTATACTGGGAAATAGAGATAAAAATACCACATCATAATCATTATGCCAAATTTAAATTTTCACTATGACAGGAGCTGTCTCCTAAAAAAGTATTATAAATTTAATATAGACTTGTTAATTATATTAGTTAGAAAAACAATATGGAACATATTAAGATAGGAGACATAAATCTGGGGAAATCACAATTGCATCCATCATGAAAACAGTGGCTTTGTTTCCACAATTAATCTTGTTAGTTACAAACAGAAACATTGTAACATTTCATTATGACATCAAAATATGGTATGTGTTATTATCACACAAATGGTGCACATATATGATACCGTGACATTTGAGGCAAGTACATAAGTGATATATTAACATGAAATTATTGCATAAATGTCAGCATTTGTCTCCTCCATCTGAGAAATTGACCATTTAGGAAAGATTAGAATTACTGTAAAATAATGCCTCCCAATCCCAGCCTTGACAGTACAGTAGCACAGATGGATACTATGGTCAAAACATCACTCTTAAATGTAGGACCAGGTGAGGATTTTCACCTCACCACTGTCCTGTCTCAGATCATCCATCATGACTGACATTTTTTCTGATCCATGGCCAGGTCTGAATCCTAGATGAAAAGAATGCATATAATCTGCTTTATCCAGGATACTTTCCAACTGAAGAACTGCAATGTTGTCTACCCTCCTTGGCAAAGGAAGATTGTATGGTAATTGTGGATAGTAATTTTGTATGACAGTCAAGGCCAGATAGCACATCTTTAAGATAAAGTGCATCTATCCATCCTTCAAGACAGGTGGCATTAGAAGGATTTTCATTTTATTCAGAATTATTTCCACAATTAAAATTCTGCCCTCTTCATCTTTATACATTTGCTTTGCCAAGATTTCTTGCTTAATATATACTACCACTCCTCCTTTCTTGTATTCTGATAGTGCCGCAAACATATTCCCCAATTTAGGGCAGTTCAATAGATATTGATATTGCTTTTTTATATGGACTTCTTGCAACATGATTATATCTAAGTTCATCTTATACAATTTATTCAAAAACTTTTTCCTTTTTATTGGAGAGTTGAGACCATTAACATTGATGGATATGGATTCAACACCTTTTTTCCCCTCCTTATCTATGTTTAGATCTAGTTATTATTGGCGGCCTAGACTCTCGAGGTTGTAAATCCTTTTCTTTTTCCACTATCAATCTTGTTGGTCCGGCCTCTTTAATTTCTTTAGGTCTATCCTCATCATGTTTCCCTTCGTTTTGGCCATTGTCTATATCCTCTCTAGTATCAACCCGCTTTCCTTTAGGGTACATTGCCTTTCTTTCCACAGCCTGGACTGATGTTTCCCTTTCCTGTCTCACCTCTCCCTCAGTTAAACCTTCCTTACTACCAAAATTCTCCCTATAAAACTCCTCTGCCTTCTCCACTGAGTCTAGACGGAACCTTCTCTCCTGCCATATGACAAGAATCCCTTCTGGTGTCAGCCATCTAAAATTGACATTTTTTCTCATCAATTTAGTAGTTATTTTTTGGTAAGGTCTTCTCAAGTCTCTCACTCTTTGATGCCTGGCTCCTGTCTGCTGGATAAAACACTCGATCATGTACAATTTTATAAT